GCTACCGCCTGAGCCACATCCCCAGCCCCTCACCTTCACCTTTCTATTCCTTTCCATTCAATCAACTGGCTGAGCAAAAATAAATAAGTAAATAAACCTTGTCTCCCACTATCCACCCACCATCCCAAAACTCTAGGTTCTCTCCAGATATAGCCTGGGGTGAAGGCTGGGTATGGGAGAAAGCAAAGGCAGAAATGTGTGTGAAAAACAATGCTGGAGCACAGAGGAGGAGCAGGCTGAACACTGGCTCCAAAACTGCTTCTAAGGGTCAGACGAATGTCAAAAATATTTTAAGGTCTTAAGAATCATTTTCAGCGGTATCTGGGTCATTAAATGCCAGTAAGAAATGAGTAGAGGGAAGGACAGATCACATACCCTTTAGATGAAAGGGGATTTTTCTCCCATAACTAAAAAAGGGAAAGTGACATCTCTGGATTGATAGGTATACTGGGCTCTACCTGTATTCATTTTTAGACAGTTTAGCAATCCGAAATTTCTGTCTTCATGCAACTCTATTCTTTACTTGCCAAAACTTCATTGCTTTTTACAGAGCATGTCTAAATTCAGTGGCAAATTGATATTATATTTCCAGAACTAAATGGAAATATACATAACATATATACACTTGATTTTTAAAAACAGTTCTGACATCTTACATAATATCCAAAACTTTTCAAAAAAACAAGCATCTTAATAGAACCAGAAAATAACCAACCACCACACCTAATTTTTCCCAACCTAGATGTTTAAAATTTTAGATTAAAGTAATATTCTTACCTGAAGCATAAAAGTCAGGATCAAAGTATGTCATAAGTAGAAAGTTAAATACAACCAGCAGAAAGCCAGAGAAGGTTATCAGATTGGGAGCCAACCAAGTAGGAAATGCCTATTTTTTCAAAATTAATTACAAAACAATTAAATCTCTGTTCAATAAACATACAAATTTAAGTCATAATATAAGCTACAAATTTGAAAGCATATGCAAGAATCATATATATTAAAATACAAACTATCATCTCTAGTTGATAGAAATAAACATTTCATTCTGTCCTCTACATTTTAAATAATTCTATAATCTTCAAACTTTTATAACATTAAATTCTTTTTAGGAAAACTGAAAAGGCATTTCACAAAAACCACAAATGATGGTGTATAAACAGAATTCAACAATGATGAGATAAATAAATCAAAAGGTATGTGACTATGGGAAGGGAAAAGGGTGGTTTCTCTACATATTTTCTTCTTATTTTTTAATAACTTTTTTTATTTTTTATGTGTTCTGAGGATCGAACCCAATGCTTCACACACGGTAGGCAAGCATTCTACCACTTAGCTACAACCTCAACCTCTCTAAATATCATCTTAAACTAAGAGCTGCTTCCATAAAACAGACTAAAATACTTGAAATTTACTAAAATAAAAAGCCCATACCTATTAATTATCTTACCTTCACTAAAGTGTTCCAGAATGGATGCATGATGTACAAAGAGAGTGGGTTGGTATCCACAGCACTGTACTGTTAAGAAATGAAATATTCAGTTACTCCTTGCTCACTAACAAGGAGGAAAATATTTCTCAAATTAAAACCACAACACAAAAATAACCTGGAGAATACATCTACTTATATGATATCCTCAACTGAACAAATAACTGGAATATCAATATAAATAGGGCAAAGACTATAAGTATAGTCAGGTATTACTTTTACGGTGAGGGGGAAGGGTCACAGAGAAAGTCTAACGATCAATCCCAAATCATGGAGTTAATCACACAGTGGTTGTCTAATTCACACATACCTATTCAGAGCCCAGATTGTCAGGATAAAAACTCACTCATCCTTCCCTCTAAATCAATTTTATATTGCATACTTGTTCATGGTTATTACACAGGATCAGTAAAATGAACACTGTATGCATTCAAACACTGTTGACTACACACTTTCTCAAACTCCTTTATCCCTCTCAACTTACAGGAATCTAGTTGTTCCCCCGATCCCCCGCCGCCTTTGATACCATTACTAAATACACTTAGAACCAATACAACCCTGGACAAGTTACTTAACCTCTGTGTCTTAATTTATTCACCTGTAAAATGAATTATGACAGCCCTTAACTCAAAGGTTTGTCATAAGGATTAGATAAGTTAATAATATATGTGAAATACTCAGAACAGTACCTGGCCCACAGTAATTACAATATTAAGTATTAGCTATTATTAAGTGTATTCCTAACACCAAAGAAATGACAGACCCCTTTACAAGAGGAAAGAAGATTGCATAAATAAGCAAAGAAGACAAAAATAGGGTATAGCTGTATGGTGATGGAACTTATTCTCTAATTACTGGGCTACTCAGTAAGAATTCAAAGGGAATTTTAACAGATGTGTATATAAATTTGTAAAACTTTAAGAGTCATGTTGAGGGGCTTAGGTTGTGGCTCAGTGGAAGAGTGCTCGCCTAGCAGGTGTGAGGCCCTGGGTTCGAATTTCAGCACCACATAAAAACAAATAATAAAAAATAGGTATTTTGTTCAACTACAACAAAAAAATATTTTTAAAAAGTCATGTTGATACTCTCTCTCTCTACACACACACACACACACACACACACACACAGACACACACGAGAACTTGGCATGTAAGAAGCACTCCACCTGGGCTGGGGCTGTAGCTCAGTGGCAGAGTACTTGCCTTGCATGTGTGCAGCACTGGGTTCAACCTTTAGCACCGTATAAAAAAATAAATAAAATAAAGGCATGCTGTCCATCTACAAATACAAAAAAATAAAAAATAAAAGAAGCACTCCATTGATTCCTCAAAAGCTTAAGAATGCAACCAACACAGGACCCTGATATACCACTCCTTGGTATTTATTCTGAAGAATTAAAGTCATCATACTATAGGGAGCAATACATGTATACCCCTGTCTACAGCAGCACAATTCATAATAGCCAACTATGAAACAGCCTAAGTGTTTATAAGTCAATGAATAGCAAATGTGATATATACACAATGGAGTTTTATTCAGTCATAAATAAGAATGAAAACTATCATTTGCAGGAAAATGGATGGAACTTTAGAACACTGTTAAGCAAAAAAACCAAACTTTTTCTCTCATATGTGGAAGCTAGAGAGGAAAAAGGAAAAGAAAGCTGGGTGTGGGAGGAGGATCTCATGAAATCAAAGGGGGATCATCAGTAGAGGATTGGGGGGAAGAATACTGAGGAATTATACTAGCCAGATTACAGTGTTATATTTGTGTGCACGTACAAATATGTAACAAAGAAGCCCACCATTACGTAAAACTATAATGCACCAATACAATTTTTTAATATTTATTTTTTAGATGTAGATGGATACAACACAATGCCTTTATTTTTTTTTTATATGGTGCTGAGGATCGAACCCGGGTCTCGCCCTTGCTAGGCAAGCACTCTACCGCTGAGCCACAATCCCAGTTCCCCCAATACAATTTTTTAAAAGTAGCATTCCACTAGATAAAAGGAAGAAGACAAACAAAACTTGGTAAGAGATAATTCCCATCCTTAGGCAATTCACAGTATTATCCAAGGTTATATTACCTAATTCATTCATCTGACATTTGAATGATATTAGACTAGCTATTACTTTGAAAAGGTTACATTTTATGTTTATAAGCATTTGAGGATCAAATATCTTTAAAATCATAATTAAAGATCAAAATTTCTTCCTGAATGTTTATGAATATGTGAGAAATACATTCAGAAAAAGTGTGATGAAACAAAAGGAAGAAAGGAAGTAAATAGAATATGATTAAAATACTGTTAGCAAAGTGCTGGCGAGGATTGGGGAAAAGGGTACACTTATACATTGCTGGTGGGACTGCAAATTGGTGCAGCCAATTTGGAAAGCAGTATGGAGATTCCTGGGAAAGCTGGGAATGGAACCACCATTTGACCCAGCTATTGCCCTTCTCGGACTATTCCCTGAAGACCTTAAAAGAGCGTACTATAGGGATACTGCTACATCGATGTTCATAGCAGCACAATTCACAATAGCTAGACTGTGGAACCAACCTAGATGCCCTTCAATAGACGAGTGGATAAAAAAAAATGTGGCATTTATACACAATGGAGTATTACTCAGCACTAAAAAATGATAAAATCATGGCATTTGCAGGGAAATGGATGGCATTAGAGCAGATTATGCTAAGTGAAGCTAGCCAATCCCTAAAAAACAAATGCCAAATGTCTTCTTTGATTTAAGGAGAACAACTAAGAACAGAGCAGGGAGGAAGAGCATGAGAAAAAGATTAACATTAAACAGGGACGAGAGGTGGGAGAGAAAGGGAGAGAGAAGGGAAATTGCATGGAAATGGAAGGAGACCCTCATTGTTATACAAAATTACATATAAGAGGATGTGAGGGGAAAGGGAAAAAAAAAACAAGGGAGAGAAATGAATTACAGTAGATGGGGTAGAGAGAGAAGATGGGAGGAGAGAGGAGGGAGGATAGTAGGGGATAGGAAAGGTATCAGAATACAACAGTCACTAGTATGGCAATATGTAAAAATGTGGATGTATAACCAATGTGATTCTGCAATCTGTATATGGGGTAAAAATGGGAGTTCATAACCCACTTGAATCAAATGTATGAAATATGATATGTCAAGAGCTTTGTAATGTTTTGAACAACCAATAAAAAAAAGAAAAAAAATACTGTTAGCAAAAAAAAAAAGCAACTCATAATTCAAACGTTTATTAGACAGATTCCATATCTAAAGTTCCTCTATTTCTCTAACCCATTCTGACGAAAATAGAATAACTAGGGCAAAAGGTCTGACAGGTAGTAGGAAAAAAAATGATGGAGAATATTGTTTGCTTCTACTGTCCAGAATTATAGGCTATGGCATGAAAGCCAGACTCACAGGAGGAACCTACTTAAATTAAGCCTTAAATTCTTTTTGTTTTGTTTTGTTTTTTGGTACTGGGGATTGAACCCAGGAACACTTTACCACTGAGATACAACCCCAGCCTTTTTTATTTTTTATTTTGAGAAAAGGTCTCATTAAATTGCTGCGGCTGGCCTCAAATTCACAATCCTCTTGCCTCAGCCTCCAGAGTCTCTGGGCCACAAGCCTGGCTTAGTCTTATATTCTTACTAAATTTTCACTGAACTTTTAACTCTTACTAAGCTTTCAACCTTCACTGGCATAGTACTCTACCATTTACAGGCCTTTACTACATAATATATATCATCATCACATCCAAACCTCTACAGAACGAAGGAATCCTAAACTGACAGGATCATCTGAACTTAAACGAACCAATATGAACCCCTGATACTGCCCATGAAAAAGTGGGAGGGCCCTGGCTACTTTCACTTCACAAATCTGTACCTAGAACCACGTGATATAGCCACTAGGCCAGATAAACTGGAAAATCATCTCTTTCAAGTTCTCCATCGATTGCAAAGTACAAAGTTATAAGAAATTCAAATCACAAAAAAAGATTAATGTATCACATGAATACTTAATACAGTACACAAAGTACAATGTTCTTAATTCAAATGTTTATTGAATGAGTCTCATTCAGTAGTTTTCCATAATTTTAATTTAGACCTAGAAGAAAGTCCTTTATGAGCCAGGTGTGGTAGTACACGTCTATAATCCCACAAATGAGGCATAAGATAGGAGGATAGTAAGTTCCAGGCCAACTTGGGCAACTTGGCAAGACCCTGTCTCAAAATAAAAAAGGGCTGGAGATGTAGTTCAGTGGCAGAGCTCCCTTGGGTCCAATCCCTAATATGGGGCAGGGGAGGTCCTGAACTGACAGTATGGTGACATGAAAAACTCTTTTTTAAATTCTGAAACTTTATTTCTAAATTTCTATTTCAGAGGACTAGTAAAAGTAAAGAATACAGAGTTAAATACAAGAAGACCTGTTTGCCTACCTGGATTTCAATTATTTGACATTCAATAATAGCTGATGAGAGCTCAAGTACAGCAAGAAAGATTAATGAGATTATAAAAGGCACCAAACAATAAACCTAAACAACACTAAGTACTCTAGCCTTACACATCTGACTATTTCTTAAGGTTATATATCACTTGATATAAACAAAGAAACTCTACACGGTCTAGTGAATCAACAGGAGGAAGAATAACTTAAACCTTCCATATGTATCAGGAAAAAAAATACAATTTTTAAAGGTGCTAAGGTATTCATTAATAAATTAAGGGTATTTATTGAATTAAATTAATTTAATAAATTAAAAGTACTTATTAATGTTTGTTGAATATACTTCTATTGTGCATACACCAGAAACCTGAACCTGCTGCCTAAACCAGTTAACACCTAGCATGACTTCCTTGGCTCTACAATGCATTAGGCCCTGGAAAAATGATCAAGGATCATAGCCTGAGTTGGAGAGAATCATTTCAAAGCAAAAAAAATCTCTAATCCTAAGCATGCTCAGAGGACCTCTAACCTAATACTCCATTGTGTGTCTTACCCTCTTCTAGGAGAACAGGTAAAACAGA